AATCTCATGGTTGAAATCTTCACAATTGTTGGCAAATTTCTCCTTTGATGACTTAAGGAGAAACTAGGGAGCAGTGGCTTCTATAGTATCCACTAGGAACAAATCACAAGTGGATTGGAAACCTCCACCGAATGGAGTGGTAAAATTGAATTTTGATGGCAGCTGCCAAGGTAACCCAGGGCCATCCGGAATTAGTGGGATTCCAAGAGACAAAGACAACAATATGTTGTCTCTTTTTTTAGGACCAGTGGGTGAAGGTGATTCTGTAAGGGCAGAGTTACTAGCAGCGGTACAAGGTATACAACTGGCTAGTCAAATTGGAGTGAACAATTTGTTAGTAGAAGGGGATTCCAAGGTAGTAGTGGGCTGGATGAATAGCCCAGATACAACATGCTGGGGCTATAGGGACCTGTTAAAGAAAGTTAAATGGATGACAAGAAATATGACTGTCAGATTTTAGTGGGTCAGCAGATCAGCAAATGCAATGGCTGATTCTCTGGCCAAGCAAGGGGTGTCAAGGGGAGATCTGTTTTGGACTACTTTGTAATTTGTGTTTCAGGCTTGGGCTTGTTTAGTGTATTTGATTCAGTCCTCGGGGGAGGTAACATCTTGTGCCTCTTCCTAGGCTGATAGTATTTTCTTATTTGAATTAATAAAACTTCTCTCATTTATAAAAAAATATTTTTTTAATATAATGTATATTAAAATATATATTATATGTTAAGATATACACTATAATATATTAAAATATATATAGTGTTGAAATTCGACTTTAACTAAAATAACCGGAAACCGAACTGAAAATTTCAGTTTTGGTTATTTTGGTTTTTCAATATTTCGATTTCGGTTTTGGTTTGGTTTTTCATTTAAAATTTCGGTTTATTTGGTTTGGTTTTTAACCTAATAAACCATGCTCACCCCTGCCTTTGAGTTATTGAAATATTTGTTCCTTTTGTTATTAAGTCATGTTCGGTGTCTACTAGGGCTGTTCACGGGTTGGGTTGGGTCGGTTTAATAGATTTTTTTTTTCAACCGACCCGACTTGGTCGGGTTACTTAAAGAGCAAACTGAAACCAATCTGCCATTAAGCAAAATCGACCCAAACATGAAGGGTCGGTTTGGCATTGTTTGTGAACAACCCTATATTTGGTGTAAAATTTCCTACTCAAAAAAGGAAAATAATCCTAAAGACAAAAGTAATTCCCATTTAACTAATGTTTTATTGTTCTTTTATGTTAAAAATAAGTAACTAACTAGAAAGAATAAACTAGGATAAGGATTACCTAGTTAGGGAAAGACTAGGAGATCAAAAACTAACTAACTCGATTCGGGTTCGGTTTTCACACATGAAAACTGAAACCAAACCAAATTATCGGTTTATCCCTTTTCACAACCCAAAACCGACCGGTGGTGAAGAAAAACCGACCAAATTGGGTTGGTTGGTTTGGCATTGTTTGTGAATAGCCATAGTGTCTACTTTTCATTTTGGTATGAAGTTCCAAAAATTTTTAAGGATTTCCAATTGATGGTGTTTACTCAATTTCATGTGGAGGTTTAGATATTCCAATCAAATAATGCAAAATAATACTTTCATGGCAACCTAAATGAATTCTTTACCTCACATGGATCACTTCACCATAGTTTGTGTGCAAAAACTCCACAGCAAAACAATGTTGCTGAAAGAAAACTCCACATAGTTTTGGATGGATGTTGTACTTTGTGCAACTTATGTTATCAACCGGATGCCCTCTAGTGTTGGATTATAAGGCCCCCATTAGCTTTTGTATCCTCAGTCTTGCTTGTTCTCCATTCCCATGAGAGTCTTTGTTGCTGATCCTTTGTTCATGACTTGCCCTCCTCTCGTGGTAAGTTGGATCCCTGGTCTATTTCATGCATTTCCTTGGGTACGGGGTACCCCTTCTCTCAAAAGGACTATTGTTGCTTTGACCTAGTCACCCGTATATACTTTGTTTCTATGGATGTTTCCTTCTTTGAGTTTGAGCCATTCTATCCTGCTTCTCACTAGGGGGAGAGTTGTTTGGAAGAGAAGCAAGCCAATCAGGTTCACCCTTCCTTCCATTCTTGATCCCACTCCTTTTCATGTCTTCCTACGTAAGTGCCGTAGAGATTAGCACTGTTTTAAAGATGTGGAGCTTCTGAATATTGTGCAACCAACACCATCGGACTCTTAGGAGGTGAGTCCATCTCAGCCAAGTACTATTATTCCTGTTTATTCTTATGTTCCTATTTCTGTTGATGATCGTACATGTGACCTTGACATTCCTATTGCAAAAAGAAAGGGTGTTAGGTCATGCACTACAAAATACCCCATTTCCCAGTATATGTCCTATGACCATGTTTCCACCTCATATCATGCCTTCTTATCTACCATTGACATTATTCCCATACCCAAAAGTGTTGTAGAGGCCTTAATACATCCTAAATGGAGAGATGCTATGAAGGAGGAGATTAATGCCTTCATAAAAATAAACATGTGGGAGTTGGTAGATCTTCCCAAAGAGAAAGGCCCAATAGGGTGCAAATGGGTGTTCTCAATAAAGTACAGGGCTAGTGGACAGTGGAGAGGTATAAGGAAAGGTTGGTGGCAAAAGGGTATAAACAAGTTTATGGCATTGATTATGTTGAGATGTTTGCCCCAATAGCAAAAACGAATTCTTTCTGAGTACTGTCATTTGCTACAAAAAAATGCATTGTTGAATGGTGATTTATGGTTTAGTCACTGGGTTTCCATGCTAAGGTCAGTGAAGGCATGGTGCTTACTGTTTAGGTTGAAGAAATCCTTGTATGGCTTGAAATAGTCTCCTAGAGCTATTCATAAAAAAAAAAGAAATAGTCTCCTAGAGCCTGGTTTAGCAAGTTCCAAATGGCGGTTTAGCAGGTGGGTTTTAGATAGTGTCAGTTTGACCATGCCCTCTTTGTTAAGAGGAGTCTTGAATAGGTTGCAATATTGATGGTATATGTAGATGCCATTATCACCATAGGTAACTAGGGATCTGATATACAAAAACTAAGAATTTTTAACCACCCAATTTGAAGTGAAAGATCTAGGACCCTTATAGTATTTCCTTGGAATTGAGGTTGCTTGCTCACAAAAGGGTATCTTTACTTCTCAAAGGAAATACATCATAGATCTCTTGAAGGACATTGAGAAAATGGGGCAAAGCCAGATGATTCCCCTATTGATGTTAATCAGTCCAGTGTTTAGAAAACTGGGTTGGACCGGCTGGTCGAACCGGTTGAATTGTGACCCGGGGCACTGATTGGTTCGGTCACACCCCAATAATAGGACTTGCTCAAAACCTGCTGAAAATGGGCTGACCAGCTGGTTTAATTGGAAAATTGGTGAACCGGTCCCAGTTTCATGAAACTGCCTGGGTCCATAAGTGAGATTTTAAAATGTTGTTAACAAGATTTGAACATAAGACCTCTTATTTTCACAGATTACTTAATTACCACTAATCCACCTCTTTACTTGTGCTAATTAATGACTATTTATTGTACATATTACATTATTATGCACGCATTTTAAAGAAAATGCAAGTTAAAAGGCTTGAACCCTAGGTATTTGTTTTAAAAATTAAGAAGCTTACCATCCATCCACCATATTTAAGTACATTAAAAGTTGTAAAATATATTATATATAGTATTTATGTGACCCATAGTATATATATATATATATATATGCCATGTCATCACGGTTCGACCCCGCTTGAACCTCTGACCCGTGAACCTCTCCCTTCTCTGGTTCTATGCCCGGTCCAGTTCTCTAAACATTGCTAAACACAGACTATTTGGTTGTGATGGAAAACCTTTAAAGGATGTGAAACTGTTTCAAAGGCTAGTGGGCAGATTGTTGTATTTCTCTATGACACACCTTGGTGTTGCTTTTGTTGTTGGGGTTTTGAGTCAGTTTATGCATTCCCCTAAAGTATCATGCTTGGAGGATGTTGAGAGGGTCCTTGGGTACTTGAAGAAGTATCCTGGAACTAGTTTGTTGTTTAAGAAGCACAACAACCTGAAGGTGGAGGTTTATACAAATGCAAACTGCACAGGTACTATTGATGATAGAAAATCCACCAGTGGGTACTGTACCTTTGTGGGTGGGAACCTGGTAATGTAGAGGAACAAGAAACAGAATAGTTCAAAAACTTGTCTATTTTTTTATCAGTGCAAACAGGTAGTAAGAAATTATTCTGATAAAAAAACATGTTTACAAGGAATTTTGCTTTGAAAAATGGAAGATGGGTATGAATTAATTCAATCAAGATTTAGGTTCTCTACTTTGTCAGTTCTTTATTTCTTTTAATTTTTTTTCAATGGAGACATGGTTTAAGGTCCCTACTCGAAAACAATTTAGGCTATTCAAGATCTCTTACAGACTATTGAGTTTATTTCCATTATAAGGGCCATCATACGTGGATTAATTGACTTTCAGGTTGAACTTGATTATATCATCTTCGGCTTCTAGTGTACAAATGATACACTATTATTTCAGGTGCACATATGGCAGATATGGATCATGGATTAAATAAGGGTAACCTATCTTTTCTATATATATATATTTAAATTTTTAGTATATCTTTTTTTTTTTTTAATCTTTTTGGCAAGTTTATAAGAAACAGAAATAATTTAATGATTCACAATAACAATTGAAGATTCAACTCAATTTTCCTATGATTTATGTTATGACTACGATTTTCAGAACATTTGTTGTGTGCATGTTTGGCTTCAACATTGGAAGTCAAACATAAATATAGTATGTAGAACTATAAAAAATTGCTCAATATAGTATGTAGAATTCTATTGAGCAAATTAAATATAAATATGGCTCTGTATTTTGCTCAATTAAATATAGTATGTAGAACTATAAAAATTTGAATGGTCCCATATCTTTGCTTTATTGGTGTTTTTCCTTGGCAACTGCTTTTACTTGAAGCTATGCCCGAAATATCTAATTTCTGAAAATATTATGTACACAGGTTCTGTTCATGGAATTAACTCCACCACTTTGAAAATTTTGAATCTCTCATCAAATATACTCTCTGGTTCATTGCCTTCTGCTCTTGGAACATGCGTGATGGTGGACTTGAGCAAAAACAATTTTTCTGGTGATATTTCTATTATGCAAGGTTGGGGAGATACTTTGGAGGTTATCAATTTGAGTTCAAATGCATTATCTGGAAGCTTTCCAAATCTGGCTAATCAATTTCAGAGATTGATTTCTATTATGATTTCAAGTAATTCTATCATAGGTGAACTACCTTCTGAATTCGGGACCTATCCAAGATTGTCTATAGTTGATTTTAGCTTCAATGAGCTTACTGGGCCTATTCCAAGTGGTTTCTTTACTTCTTTGACAATGACAAAATTGAACCTTTCAGGAAATAAGTTTAGAGGAACAATCCCTCTTCAAGGCTCACACACAACTGAGTTATTGGTTCTACCTTCTTATTCACAGATGGAATCACTTGATCTCTCTTGTAACTTATTGACAGGTTCATTGCCTTCTGAAATAGGTAACATGGAGAGGCTTAAGTTGCTAAATTTGTCAAGGAACACATTATCAGGAGAGATACCAAGTGCAATGAACAAGCTTAGTGGCTTAGAGTACCTTGACTTATCCAACAACAATTTTAAGGGTAAGATCCCTGATGGGCTTCCATCAAATCTAAAGGTTTTCAGTGTATCCTATAATGATTTATCGGGACAAGTTCCTGACAATTTGGTACATTTCCCTGTTACTTCTTTTCATCCTGGAAATGCCCTACTAATCTTCCCAAATGGCATGCCTTCAAAGAGTAATGGGCCCTTGGGTTTTAATGGTAGAGGCCAACGTCACAGTTCAAAGGCTAACGTCAGAATAGCAATTATTGTTGCCTCTGTAGGCGTCACTGTGATGATTGTTTTTGTTTTATTCGCATATTATCGTTGGCAACTACAAGAATTTCCTAGGAGTGGATCAAGAGGCCAAATGACTGGCAGAGATATTGGAAAATTTACACGCCCTTCGCTTTTCAAGTTCCACAAAAACATAGAACCCACTTCAACCTCAATGAGTTTTTCAAATGATCGACTGCTGATTTCAAATGCAAGGTCATTACCTGGGCAGAAAGAGCTTCTGACTGAAATTGCGGAGTGTGGTTTACCTGAGGGAAGAGAAACAGGCCCAGAATCTCTGATTCCTAACTTTCCAGATAATCATTCTGCAACCTCTGGTTTGAAGTCATCTCCGGGGTCCCCTCTATCTTCTTCACCCCATTTTGTTGAGGCATGTGAGCAACCTGTGATGTTAAATGTGTATTCACCAGATCGGTTGGCTGGAGAGCTGTACTTTCTGGATAGCTCACTAGTATTCACAGCTGAGGAGTTGTCTAGAGCCCCAGCAGAAGTCCTTGGTAGAAGCAGTCATGGAACTTTATACAAAGCTACCTTAGATAGTGGGCATATTTTGACTGTGAAGTGGTTGCGAGTAGGACTCGTCAGACATAAGAAAGAGTTTGCCAAGGAAGCAAAAAAGCTTGGATCTATTAGACATTCAAACATTGCCCCATTAAGAGCATATTACTGGGGCCCCAGGGAGCAAGAGAGGCTGGTTCTTGCAGATTACATCCATGGAGATAGCTTGGCTCTTCATCTCTATGGTAAGGGTTTCCAACAACTGATCTTTATGTTTCCACCTTAATATTATCATTGCATTGTGAACTATTTCTACTCGGAGTTTGCAATTATATTGCTATACATTTGGTATGTAAGAGCCATGATCATTGCCTTCATACATCTATTTATCGGTAGTTGCTCCTTTTCATGAACTACTGTATATCAAGGATTAACTTTTCTATTTTTTTTTTTATGGATAATAACTGAATACATGGGTTGATAAGGCAAAAGCCCAAAAAGAACTCAAGCTTTGCTTATCCCAAACTGGGGTAAATTAAATTCCAGAAAAAATCTTATTATTGGTAGACTAAAAGATTATCTCCTATTGCCACTTATAGTGTTATCATTGGATGAAGTATCATCCTTGCCTTATCCAAATAATTGTTAAGGGTATTGTTTGCTTTGCTCTCTTGATCGAGAGGCTTTGGGTCTGGTAATCTGGTTTCACCTCCCTTAGCCAAGCTAACAAATTTAGTCCTTTTTTTTTCCTGATGAAATGTAACAATTTTATTTTATTTTTTTACCAGCAACAGAAATTACTTTCATTAGTTGAGAATTTAAATCAAATAACAATGTTTTTATTGTTAAAACTTCTATTACATGTTAATGGAAAACAGCTACTTCACTTGGGCAATTAGTGTCATCCTCTATTACGTTTGTTATTCACTTGGGCAGTTGGGCCATCACATCTCTCTAACCATGCAGCATCTCATGAGTCTTGACCACTCAACTGAGCACCAAAGTAACCTGAATGATCTTTCTTTTTCAATAATAAGAACATGTTATTAAAGAATAAAAAGTAACCTTAGCAATCATAAGGCCCATTACCATATTAATCTCTGGGAAAGGCAATAAAAGAGATGATTGCCACTCTCCACCCCTAAGGCATAGAACAAATGCATTTTTTTTTTTGAGTTATTGCAATTTACTGGGCAATCTACTCTCAAAATCTTAATTCAACATGGAAATTGCACTCCTTAGAGAAAATTCCACCTTGGACAAGACTTGATAACTGCACATGAACTTGGCTAAGAACGATGTCGCCTACTTCTTTATGAATACAGAGAAGAAAGAACTGATCACTATAACTCCTTTCTTGCCCCATTTCCTCCCCTTCAATCTTGGTATGTTCTGTCCTCACCTTACATCTCCAAGTTGTCTGGAAATTCTTCGATGTAAATATTTAGATTATGTCTAGGTAATGGGCTCAGTGAATCCTCTCTGCCCTAGTTGCATAGCATTCTAGAACTATAGTTGATTCTTTTCATACTACAGCTAGAGACCTGGAAATGTGGCCTTTTAGGGGAGTCTCTTCCAATTGTAAGTCACCTAGAAAATAATTGTCATTTTTCTCCCTTGAATCTTACACCCTTAGAAACTTTTCTAATTACTTTGAGATGGCTTTCCACGCCTCCAGATCTTCTACCCACAAGACACTACAGCCGCACATTGGCAACATCTCAGTTGTCATTCATGGGGAGATGTTCCTGATCCATGGATGTAATGTCTTTTTGAGAAAAGGTACTTGTATTTAAACTTCAAAGAGGGAAGGATGTACACAAGAAGATGTGCAAGAGAGGACCATGAAAAAACAAAAAAGCACGGGCCCATACAATTAAAATGGCTGCATATTTGCACTATACAAGAAATCCCTTCCCAACCAAGATTTAGCTAATCTATCTGGCATGTGACTCATTCTCTTGGAATCCATCTGAAACTACAGTTCAAAGAAGAGTAAATGTCATGGATTTTGAGGGAGAGGGTGAGAGAGTTTCCAAGGGGCTGTTTCCCAATGCTTGGCCCATTTTATAGCCTTCTTGGAGTCTCCTTCTATAATTGTATCTCTGATCAGCTGCTGATTGGCAATCTGAAGCTGGTTTCAACATTAGCTGCATCTGTAGCTGTAGTAGGGCCACTAAAAGCTCAAAGCTGTTCCCCATCAACTTTGCTAATGACATCCCTAATACCAGCTGCAGTAAGGTCATCATGGTTTCTTCTAAAATTTCCATCAAACTGAAGGATATAATCTGTCTCCAGCCTGGAAGGTAGAGGTTGGCAGGTGAGAGTCCTGAATGGAGATGAATGCATCACTTCTAACCAGCTTCTTTGTGGGTAGCAGATCCCAGCTTGATTTCCACATGCATGATAAGTATGCAGATCCCCTCGTCCTGGTTGGATGCCAGGTCGGGGTCCAGTGGGGGAGGATCTAAATTCTATTGCTGTGCAAAGCCTCTTGAAACTGGAGCACTATTATGTTCTGGTGGCACTCTAGACTTTGGGGTATGTTCAAATTTGGCAATCTCAGATCTCAGTCTTTCCCTTGCTCTTACAAGCTCTCGGTACTTGGATTAACATACAAGAGAATCAGGGTAGTGGTCATAAGAAAATGAAGATTAAACCTGTAAGGGAAAAAGCATGAAGTGATGATTAAAATGAAATAGAGACTGGATACTGAATCTGCCGGTTTGTGATCTAGGTTGACCCTTTCTTTTCTTGTTTTTTCATTAATTCTTCTTTTCAGCCTCCTCTGGTTCTATTTCTACAAGTATCTAAAGATAATTGAGACTTCCTTGCTCACAAGGGAAAAAGCATGAAGTGATGGTTAAAATGAAATAGAGACTGGATACTGAATCTGCCGGTTTGTGAATAGTTTTGTGATTCTAGGTTGACCCTTTCTTTTCTTGTTTTTTCATTAATTCTTCTTTTCTATAGCCTCCTCTGGTACTATTTCTACAAGTATCTAAGGATAATTGAGAGACTTCCTTGCTCACATCTATAGCCTCCTCTGGTACTATTCCTACAAGTATCTAAAGATAATTGAGAGACTTCCTTGCTCACAAGGAGAGGAAATTTCTTTACTGGTGCTATTACACCATTTCTTCAATATGACTATTGTCTAGGTTTATTGTGCACCATTGTTTGAGATTTATTTAGTTAATTTTTGATCAACTGGTGTAATACTATTGTTGTTGTTTCTCCTTGGGAAGAGAAACACAAACAGATTTAGGAAATGCCATTACTTGGGACATAGTATATTTTGGAAATTTCTTGGAGGTTGCAGGTGGTAAAAAATGCCCAAAAATTCCTGCTTAAATCTTAGACATTTTCTGCTGACGTATCACAGAAGTGGCAATTGATATTCCATTGGTTCGCCCAAGGTGCTCTTAGGTAGTGTTGTCATCTGGTGCCATTGTCTGAGTTGGTGAGAGGGTGAAGCAAAGAGAAGGTTGTTGAGAGGGTGAGAGGGGGAGAGGGGGAGGAGCTGAGATGGGAGAATTTG